TGATTGGTTAATTTAATTGTGGTGGCATTAATTGTGGCTTGTTATTACTCCACATTAGCCTCACCCATATATGGAAGATAGGGAGTGTGGGAGTATGGTCCTTATTTAATAAAAAGAGTGTTTTCAAATTTTGTTCATTAATCACGTGACTTTGTTTACATATAATTTCATTGGCTGGTGGCTGATGATGTGGCTGATATCATGTGATTCGTAATTTTGGCTGAAATTTTGTGACGTGATATTTATAATGCTTTAGATGTCAAATTTAAGCTTTTCGATAATTTCGAATTTTGATTGGTCGATTATGACACGTGACATGTGATCTCATGTGACTTTTTGATGATATCACCGTGTTTTGTAATTATCGTAGCGTTCTCTATTTAATTACTTCCTTTAAACAATATATAAATATTTTTAACCTTTTGAATCATACTTTCTCTTGAAAATACGATTCCATTTTATTATAAATTTATATTCTTACCATTTGATTACTAATATTATTTTCTAAACTAAAAGTTATAAGTTTTTTTGTATTTCTTATTATATTAATATTTCTTTTAGACCAGTTTTTCAGCCTTGTCGAATAAATGAATCAAATAAGATATAAAATCTAGAGTTAGATTAGTGCTAACAGAAATATCTAAAATTTGTTTTTATATATATAATTCAGTAAAGTTTTATTCAGATCTCGTAAGGATATGAAATCAATGCTTCTAATAAATTCGAATAATTCACATATAAGTCTTGTCCTACTTTCTGATTATAAGAGATTTTTATTTAGGGAGAATGACACTTAGTTCAAAAGAAATGGTACTTTGTGTTTGTGCTTGATTATAAAACTTGGGACAATGAAGTTTATCTCCAAAATATTTGATTAATTACTCTGTGAGACAGGAATTTGGAACAAGCCAGGACATGCATTCTGAGATTTTGATTGGTTATTTTTCTGTTCAGAAATAATAATAGAGGGAGTATCTTGAGAAGTTGAGAGTACCTCTTGAGTTCGGAGCTTTTTTCCCTGTTTCTCTCTCTTATTTCATTACTAATCTTTCCTTATATACTGTTTCTGTAAATTCAAGGAATTCAGCTGAATCATCATCAATAATATTTTGTGGCAAAGAGGTTGTGAATATTTCAGGCTCTGTTGGAGATTCAGATTGGATCGAGTTATGTTCTAGTTCAGGCAAGAGATCATGAGTAATGCACTTCGTGCCTGGGCCCAAGTTTTTACCGGTAATTTTGGCAAGCCGAGGACTGCGAAATATCTTTTGTGCCACATATGGCTTTGCTCTGCAAAGAAGACCTCCTGTTCATTAGTAATGACTCGGGTCTGCTTCTTGATTTCCTCAATATCGTGTCTTAATTTTGTTACTTCGGCTTTAAGCTTAACATTCTCAGCTTTGCGCTTGGCATTTTCTTCTTTCTTCGAAAGATAATTCTAATTCTGACGACATGTCTGGGTATCAACAGTTTTATATAGAAAGCAGATTTATTCAAAACTTCGAGTTAATTAGGATCCGAGAATATATAGTAAAAAATCACATGATTAAAATTTCACTTCCGGGCCGGAAGGAAAAATTGGCAAGCAAAATTTCCGACCAAAATATGTGGACATCGACGCCCGTACAACTCGATAAAATCCCGAAATATATATATGTGAAAAGTAAACGTAGTTATATATGCGAAATAGTATGACACTAAAATAATGATTATATATGTGATTTCTGTTTCTACGTTATGGAAGTGGTAGGATGAAGATAGATATATAATAAAAATTTCTAACGCGAAAAAAAATCGATGGTCAGCGCTTGGGTATTTTTAGCTTGATTGAATCATTTCTGAGATAACAAAAAACTATACGGCTTGCTGTCCCAAAAATTATCCACAGTATGGATTTGCCATAGAGGTACAAGGTAAACAACATGAGCGACACGTAAAACGCTTCCACGAAAATAAGAAGCAATTGATGTGTGATGAGACTAGCAAAGTTGAAAAAATATAATCTCAGATTCTAATGCTATCAAGTAACAATGCTATGAGTACAATGCGTACTGTTTTATATTTATTAGTCACAGTTCGTCACCAACAACATCGATCAAGGTACTTACGTAAATAACGTATAACGTGACATGTTATATGACGATATATCTATGACCCTCAAAAAATTCTTAATTCTCGATTTTAGTATTTTGCAGATATACCACCGACATCATGGTACGTAGTTTGTCTCGTTCTAGGTGATCCTACTGATGAGCATTTGTGGTTGATATTACCGAAGAAATCAAAACCGTTTCGCATCTCAACTATACTTTTATACTCACACTCCTTTATACTCACTTTCTCAAGGGTGATGACTATATAGAAGTTGACTGTATTCTAAAAATTATATTCAAAATATAGTTAAATCTGCTATATACTATAATTTACTGATTTCTGCAATTTTTATTTTAATTATATTTAATTTTGTCTTAATTTAACTAACCAAAATTATGTGTGTTTAAAATTATGTTTAGAAATTCAAAAAAATTATTATGCTGATAGATTACCATCAACCTCGTTAAACCGAAACGCTAATTAAAATCTAGATAAACCGAATTTAGTTCCAGGAACAGTTATAGTAATCAACTTCGATAAATCGAAGTTGATTCAAGAACAGTTATAGTAAACCTGCTTCAATAAATCGAATTTATTAAATAAACCTCGATAAACCGATTCTTTCAAATTTTCTGACCACTTCGGTTTAACGAGGTTGACTGTGTAATAACATCGATATGTGTGGATAAAATTTTGTATTGATTTCCGAGTTTATAGAATTTAAAACAATTTATTGTCGATTGCCCCAAAATTTTCGATATCGAAGGAAATTTTATTAGTGGTCATCGATTTTAATTAGTCATCGTTATAACGGGATATCGGTAAATCGATGTATTTTCTGCTAAATATCTATTTTGAATTTAGTTCAAATTTTGAACATATAAAAGTACTAAGACAAGTTCTTAGCTGAATTTGATCCAGGTCAGATTATAAAGATCGCATTAACTTCCCACGCCTATTTGACACCCACTGAAGAGCTCGCAGAAGAACCAAATGCTTATTAGATTTTTGGGCGGTCCTATTCCTAACTTGATCGGAATTCAAAGTATTTTAATAAATTTCTGCCTTAGCTTCTGCTAATTTTGTTTAAATTCACATTTCAACTTTACTATTATTTATCGAATCAAAAGGATCAACTAGTAGTATTGTTTCGGAACATGGCCCTTTGAAATAGTAATATGTAGACGCGCGTAATATTGTTCTTGGCGTAAAGGTGGTCTATCTTTAACGCGATTCTAATTTTATCCTAAATATGTGTTGAGATGACGCAAATATTAAAAAATGACATATTTTCGTGTAAATACATGTACGTCATAAAGATAAATGATCAAATGTGCTAAGATAAAAAATGGCAGATGGAAATATTGACACAACTCATGCTAAATGTTGGCGAATTAAGGTGATATTTTCTTTCGTCACGAATTTATATTTTTGTAGTATGAGACTTATCGTGAGACACTGATGAAATATCCTACTAAAACGATAAGTTGAAATGGCTCCTGGTGGCGAAAAAATATCTGACAACAACACTTCAAAGAAATGGGTGTAGTCTCTCTCGAAGGCCTGGAACAAGAAATCGGCTATTTTCAATTTGATCGTACATCAATGGTTCAAAGTTCAGCAACGCGGTTTTTACTCAAATGTTGGAGGAGTTTGTTATCGAATGTTCCGAAAGTTTTATTTTTGACGCAAGCATTGTATTTCATCAAGGAACATTGAAAGCTCGAGTGTCATCTTTCCGGACTTGCAAAAATTTGTCAAATTCGCATGTACATACAATTGAGATGTGCAAGTAGGCTGGCAAAAAAAAAATACGCGAATACGCTCATCGTTGGATATTTAGAAATTACTTTTTAATTTTGATGAGATTCTCGAACTTGCATTATTAATAAATGATAACTACCTGTAAATTCAAAATTTGTTTAGTAATATTTAATAATTTTCTTTTCGAAAAAGACCGCAGCTAAAAACGTATAATATATGCTCGGTTGTGTTACTTATTGGTACAATGCCACCTAGTTAATTATTATGACTTCATGCCAAATCCGGTTATTTATTGAAAAATGTCTTTCTAAAAAGAAAAACATGCGCCTCTTTCGGGGCTTAGCACTAAACATCTCTTAAAAGAGTAAAAAATCTAAAAGATCTAAAAAAAACTGCCTCAGGAAAACCATACTATATCGATGTTAAACGTGGTTCTATATAAAACTTTCATGGTTGATCTACATCACCCACTACGTATACATGACATGTAAATCATTCTAACTGGCTGTTTCTATGATTATTGACTAATTGTTTACTAACGCGCTAAACATTAATTTCTTTACGTTTTTATTTCTTTTTTCTCTTTAATTCTCTTTAATTCTGTTCGAAACCTTGGCCTCTCTTCGATAAACTCCTCTCCGTATCTGTTTTCAGATTATTCTGTGTTGATAAATGGCAATAGAACATACACAACAACAATGTATCCTATTTTGAGATTGTTTATCAGCATGTTGATAATTTCCTATTTCGTTTATTATTTTCTATTTTGAATAGGAGTAATAATCTTGTTTTTTGGTTCGGTTTTTTGTTTCCCGCCTAATTTTCATTGAATCCTTGTCCGTGAATACCACTGTAAATATGATTATGGTTAATCGATTTACTCTCATTATAATTACGCCAAGATTCATAATTTATCTTGAAATTGTATAGTAATAGGTTATCACACTTATAATTTAAATATAGTAAAATAACAATATACTATTCTTAAATTAAGAGTTCACGGAATTTTTGATAAACTGTCAAATTTACTAAGATCTTAAAAAAACCTGTTTCCAACAAGTGTGATAAGTAAACCTAGCCACTAATAACAAGCAAATACAAATACAGAACAATTGATCAATTATTCAGAAATGTCGAAATTAAAACTTTACCCCACATTGAAACACAAACTACACGATAAGGATACGCGCGCGTATAAGCAAGCGCTTGTCAATTTAACACTGCATATAAGTTGACGTAAAAACGATTTTCTCAAGTTAACGAAAAAAGGAACAATGTTATTTGTTTGAATAGAAGAATCGTTATGATCGCTATTTATTGAGATTTGCGTTAAATAAATGAGCAAATGAATGAATGAGTGTAAGAAAGAATAATGTATATCTCCAAGAACAATTGAAATTTTGGGCGTTTTTCTCGCATTATTTCTTATTATTCTAGGGACAAAGGCCAATTAAGACTTTACACATTAATACATATTAATGCCATTTGGTTTGACAGCTTTGATAATCTCGAGGCCCTGAATAACACGAAAACAAAGACTCACGGTGCATACATGAGAAATCCATTCCGGTCAAGAGAACAATGCGTTGAATCACAATACCTCGTATTCTCAAATTTTCTGTTAGTTTGTGTAAGCGTGTGTAAGCGTGTGTTTATTTTATCGAATAAAACATTAAGAGAAAATTGACACGTAGGGAGGACTAAAGAGAACAATGCGTTTTAGAAATTATTTATGTAATATATGCGACGCGTAATAAATTAATTATACGGCGTATAGCTATGAGTGGTCGATATGATGTGATTATTAAAGGTAAGGCAATATTGGGGCAAGAATTTGAAACTTGATGTGACAAAGTCGCGTCTTAGTGAAATACCTTTTTGCTTCAGGAACTATGTGATGAAATTTTGAATTAACACACGTTAGATCACTAGCATACATTCCTAAATAAATTTTTATATTGTCATTTAATGAAATTTTATATTCGAATTTCGTAGATTTCTGATACGAAGCCTATTGTAAGAATATCCCAAAATGATTTTTGGCGCAGCCAAGTGTGGCCAGTGATCTAATCATGTGATCAAGAAGTTTTATCGTTATGGCTGATGAGAAGTTATTCAATTAAAAATTTTAGCGTTTAGAAACTTGAGCGAGAATACACAATTAAGCTGATTGAGATGATCTGTTTAAACATCTTTGTAAGCATCTTTCCTCGATTGAATGTTCCATTAGATCAGCCCGTTTTCTTTTACTTATTGTTTTGTGAAATCATTCGATAATTAATAATTATAATCACAAAGAAACGAAGCCAAGAAACTTTATAGTACATGTTACTATAAGATTTATTAGCGTTTTATTCCGCGATCTTTGTTCATGCTTTCATGTGATCGGAGACTTTGAAATGAATGCGCGGATTACGTGAATCCTCGTCATCGATAATGACGTCGAATATACCGATTTGTAACATAGATATCATTGACGAGAGCAAAAATGTGAAGAGCAGCATGGTCTTCACAAGACCACAAACAAAGTGTTCCTCGTCTATCCTATAATTAACTTCTTTCTTGTTGCCATTTCTTTAATTAAATTTTTAATTACTTGCATAATCGACATTGACACGCGTATTTGTATATCGCATTGTTAAAGAGAAAAAAGCAAGACTAAAACAAATAAAATTAAATTATTATCGTTTTTGGACATGAATAAAAAAATAGAATGTGTGGATAGTTTGTGTCAAATCACATTGGTGTACCGGGAAATCATACCCGGAAAGCGGATCGAACTAAATCATGTAATTATTCGAAACAAAATAGTAACAGTAATAATTAAAGCAAATATACTTTTCTTGATTACTATATTTAATAAAAATCAACTAAAAAAAATAGAGCAAAGAGAATTAAAGTTAAATGAAGTGCAGTAAAGTTTGGTCAAATATCTGCAACGTGGTTTGCATTGAAAAGAAAATCTTGTGGATTTCTTGCTTATTCAGCATTGTCATCACCTTTTGAGACTATTATCCCTCTCTATTGCGCGATGAAAGCACGGTATCAATTGTAGCGAATATCTTCTTGTTATACGTAAAAAAAAAACTATGTTACTCGAAATAGACTAACAAATATGTGTTGTAGATCTGCCCTGCCAGCATAACATCGGAGTATTGCGAGATTATTTATGGAAACTAGAACTCGGAGTTTTTACTCAGTTTTTTTAATAATCACTAAAAGTGATTATCAGCTCGGGGATAGTCGACGAATAGTGTGGCTGAACTTGCTATCGATGAAAAAGTCAATATGAATCCATTGGCTATTTTCCATTCTGACACTAGTCAAAGTAAATTTTTTAAGACAGTTATCGGGAGTTTCATTAAAAGGAATCTTTATAATCACTTTTCATCATTCATATAAGGAAAAAGATTAAAAGTCAGATATCGTTGAGCAAAAAAATACGAGTATGATGACGGTATTGAGTAACCGAGTTGTATCTCGTGTAATAACCCGCATCGATAAATCATAGGCAGAGTAACACAACGCATATACGAGATAAGCAGGTTACCCTGCATATAAATCATGTTTCGTATTGATTATTGTATGTATTTATGTATTATGTCATATAAACATCCCATGCTTATACATGTATGAGAGTTATCATTGCATTTTTTATAATAGCATTGATGATGATGATGATGATAAAGATGACCATTCATCAATTTCTTTTTTTTAAAGGAATATAAACAGTTTTAATCGTTAACGGTTGATCGATACATACGATTTTCTTTTCAACGATCTTTTTGATTACTTTGTTTTTCGGAATATAGTGGCCGGACGAGTGATGTGAATTACTTTTTAATAAATTTATTTTTTAATATGCGGTGAAAATAATTTTCTATTCTTAATTATATTTTGCGATGTATGAAAAATCTATGTATATAGATCTGCATGTGTCTACTTTCTAACATCGGATGGCGCATTCAATTAATCCTGGATGAAAGTTTTACTTTATGAATATTGATCGGTTACAAGCATTCATCTCATAGTTATGTCTAAGGAAAAAAATTTTGCCTATGAATTTCAAACATAAATGCCTTTATTATTCACTAACAATTAATTATTATCGAGAAAATTCTATTGCATGGCATTCACAATGTAAGTTAATATTAGCACATATATAGACGAGCGCGGGAAAACCTATACACATTATATGCAAGCTTATGGCAAAAATAAACAATTTTTTGTTTATACGCTTTATGTTTGTTTGTATGATGCTATGGCGGGGAAAAGGGATATTATTTCTATAGATTAGGTTTCTATCTTTTACCTAACAATAGTCAAGTTATTCGACAATACTCTAAACTATCGTTATTGTTGATTACTTTTTCGTGTTTAATAAACGAATTTCTTTTATCTATAAGAGCATAATAGAAAAAAAAAGTAACAATTAGACGTGATAATCGTATATTAATAATAACAGCTCTAGGTCAATCATAATGAATGATCATAGAAGTACCGAAAAAAAAGAACATACATTCTATGCTTAAATTATTAGTAATATAAAAACAATACAATGTGTGAATCCCTAGTTTATAAGATATACAATGCAGAATAATGTATGCATTGATGTAAATCTTTGTTTGTGGATCATTCTGTTTGTAATGTATGTATCGGACTATAGTAAATGAATAAGCTTTTTTGATTAATCAACAATTATTGTTAAGAAATTTTTAATTCAAAGAAAATGATTAAGAATCCTGTTTTTCCTTAAAAGGAAATTTTCAAGAAATGTTATTAAAAATTTCGTTCTTACATAATAGTAATTAATGACATATATAGTAATTAATGACATATATAGGATTTGTGTATTTTTTTCACCTATACTCAAAGTGTCATTGTTTTCATTTTCATCCCTTATTAGAAAAATTTTACCGCGCTTTTTTTGCTTCGAACAAACAAAAAAATGACTACACGAGAGTTGAATAAAATGGATAAATAAAATGAGCGAAAGCAAATGATTTTGTTTGCGTACTTTTTTTCCGGAAGATTCTGTCTATTCTATCAGACTAAGATGAAAAAAAAAACTGGTCAATCACCAGTGGCTGAAATAAAATTTGCCTTATCGTATCCGTATTTAGTGTAGAATTTCTATGTCCGACCCAAGCATACATGATATCATGCGGCGCAGACCAACGCAACGTTTCAAGTTTGCGCCACGTATGGCAGGAATTGAAACATTAAGCCATCTCGGCCGTGGTACAATGTTGTCCGACATCTCCAATTATCACTTAATTATGCAAGGTATTTCATTTTTTTATACAGTGTAGTGTATGTGTACAACATCCTGGAACACCCCTGGATAAATAAAGTATAAAAATTGTGATACAATGATTGCCATTCAGTGGCGAATTTCGGTCCAAAAAAATTTGAATGTTACTTCTCGAAGACCCGAAACTTCTTTTGATTTAGCTCGATTGTATTATTAGGAGATAGCAAGTAAAAAAGCCTCTGTACTTTGAACTTCCTTCTTTGTGATAACTGAAACAACAACAAACTGTACTAGAATAAAAAAATCACACGCTAAACCAACAACAATTAGATATGACGCGTGAATTTCGAGCCGAGTTGATTTGATGATTGGGATTACTAAACTGTACAGTTGCGACGTTCCTGCAATTCCTTCTTTGCACATCCGTTCACATCTCCGTTATTTTTCTTTTTCGTTGTCTTACACTAACCAGCATTGGAATACCAAATTACCCAATTGAGGAATCGTGTGGACAGAAGGCGTTTAATACCATTCGCGTGTAAATATTATTAATTGACCCAATATCAACTAAATGCGTACAATAAATTCCTTTAGTGAAATCGTGCCGAATATCAACAAAACAATCATAACAAGTACATTATTACTCCGTTTCTACAGGAGCAAGTAACAATAGAAGTTACGTTAACATTCTTGAGGCAACAATAACAAAAATATTGAAGGGCTTTCACTTGTTCGATATTGTTGTTCGCTCGTATGGTTGCGCGCTTTCACTTTCCCGCAGATCTCGTCAGCATTCTTAAGGGCCACATTATAATTATACTTTTTTATTTACGATGCTTTTTCAAACGACGGTATTTTAAAGAAGAAATGAACGAACCAATTAAATCTCATCCTAACCTTTTAAACAAATATACTGAATTGTGTTTCTATGCGACAAATTAAACTTTAAATGTTCATCAAATGTAATAATTGGCAATTTTTTCGTCAAAGTAACATGACTAAAATATAAATAAAAAACCGATTTGAGTAATAAGCTAGGGTAGAAGTAAGAAAAATAGTAGTAGTAAAAAGACATATTTGTAATTGCGTCCGATTATCTCTTGATCTAACAATAGAATGGAATATCGGGTATCTCTAACCTTAGCAAAACAAATAAACTCCATCCTTCCATTTTAACGAGCAATTAATTAAAATAAAGAGGCAGCAATTGTAAAATAATATCAATTGATAATTAAGAACCTCAAAGAAGCACATTTGAAATTTCATTTAAACATCACATCACATCACACACACACAATTATTATTATCACAACTATTTTATTAGCATATATAGAAAATATTTCTTAAAAATGATGAAATAAACTTTTAGGGCTAATAATTTGAATTTTGGGGTAACTATAATTATAGGGTTCTCTCCTCAATTATCACGTCCCTGGCAAATACCAAGAGAATCCTTTATGTTATCGGATTAGAGTATACGTAAAAATAATAAAGTAAATATTATCTCGTTTTTTATTTGAATAATTGATTGAACTTTGCCTCAATTGAAATTGGATATAGTAGCAGTAATATAACAGCAACCTTCGTATAGTCTATTATACTGTTTTTATTGGGACGTGTATGGTTAAAATTGAAATTTACATAGAACGAGCATTGAAATGTTGTTTTTAATTGGTAATTGGAGGTGAGGAGTGGGGAAGAAAATTACTTTTCATCTGCGACTGATGCTTCTTTATGCCCGGTTAAAATGTGTCTAATATCAATGTATGTAAATATATTTATGTACGTATATGTAAGATGAATAGCTCTTTAATTTCAAACAAAAATTTTTTCGTCTTGCTGATGGTGTTTGCCAATAGCAACGTGCTTCTCTTTTGATTCGATATATTTTAAACCAATTTTTTCCTATGAGAATCTATTTTTCATTTTTCGTCGTAGCATATGGACTCTATCATCCGTGTATAAAGCCGCGTGTTCAGAGTGTAAAAAAATGCATTTCAGCTTCTTGTACATGTGTATAGTAATATATATATTATATAATACTACTGTATATATTGTATAGACATACATAAATTCTATTTTATCACAAAAATATACAATACAATATATGTCTATACATTTATCGATAGAATAAATATCAATATAAATATAAGTTGTACGACACAAACATACGACACAAACAGTTGTTGTCATTAATTATAAATATGAAGTAGTTCGTCTCTTCTTTTTGCCCATAAAAAATACATTTCAATACAACAAATAACCATTCTCTTTATAATTTTCTCTGTTTAAAAATTCTTCTTCTTTAACCTTTAAAAGTTTATTTCTTCGTACCAAATACGTACTCCCAAAAAGAAAAACAATTATCTATCGATTTCAAACTTCTATCTAGCATACAATTACTTTCAAACTTCTATCTAGCATACAACTACTCTTGAGTCGCAAAGCTTTCTCTTTAAAACTCATAACTTCTTTCTATATATTCAAGATGAAAAAATATTGTGGATTATTGATGTTCGATAATGGATCAAAAGAAGTTGACTCATACGACAATTCACAGAATAATAATGATTCATTAGATTCACCATTCATTAATGAATCACTTGCTGCTGGTGCCGCGGCTGGTGACGAAGATGGAAGAAAATCGGCCAATTCCGATTCGAATGCTTCGGATCCCACAATAACTGCAAAGCAACCGCCAAGACCACCGAACGCATTCATTCTCTACAGGCAAGCAAAACAACCAGCTTTAATTCAAGCTGATAAGCATTTGACTAATGCACAAGTATCACGACAAATGGCTGATATGTGGAAAGCTGAACCACCACACGAAAAATTAAAGTGGGAGAGAATGGCTGATCGAAGAAAGTTGGAGCACATGAAGCAGTATCCCAATTATATTTACAAACCAAATAAGAAGAATAAGGTTGATAAAACTCGGAAGAACGCTCGTCAAGAAAAGGCAAAGAAATCTGTCGCCGCTGTTGCTTCCAACAAATCGAATGTTCAGCAAAATAGCAGGAATATGGAATCATCAAGAACCGGACCAATTCGAACCAATTCAATCAAAACTCATTTGAAACCGTATCAATCCATAGGCGGTCCATCGGTATTTATTAATCATCCGCCGGCGGCGCAATTTCCAATTGAATTTCACGGCAATTATCACGACTCTGCTGCATTGCTGTATACGCAACAACAGCAACAACAATATAATCCGATTCCTATAACACCACCAAATTCGATCCCTTCAATGTTGCGAACAGAGAAAATACCAAATTATTATCAACCACCTACAAACACAACTCCCATCGACTTATACGAAGGAAGATCAAATATGTTTAATGGCAACAGCAACAGCAGCAACAACAACGTAGATCCTTCTTACTCCAATCCTCTGAATATATTGACAAACATTTATACAACAATACCGGACGTTGAACAAGCATCGCAACATTATATTAGCGAGTATTATTTACATAATGGTCCATCTACACCGTCCACTTCGAATTCTTCGGTGACAAATTCCCCAATCACTAATCATCCAGTGGCATCCAATCATTACTTTCAACCTGAGCACGATATTTCCTATGTTGCTTTACTTCAGAATGATTATCAATTTTATAACGGTTCTGAGAATCATCCTTCTCATACCGCAACTGCTGGTCATTACCTTCAATAATTCACTTTATTACTTTAAATACTAAAAAAGAAGGAAAAAAATACATAAGAGAAAAAATCTTAAAAAATCCAAAGGGAAATTACATAAATGGGCAGGTTTTGTGCATATATCTTTATAGAGTGTGTTGGTTTTTTTTTTTTACATTCGAGTTTTCTTGGATCAATATATTATTTAGTTTTCTATTTTGGTATTTTTCTTGGGTTATAGAATGTCTGGTACTTTATCTTTCTTTGTATTTATTTTTCTATTTTTCCTGTAAACTTTTTATTATCATCTCCCTTTCAAATTACCCAGTGTGCAATCTTTTCTGGGCTTTTTTATAACCCTTTTACCCTACCCGTTTTTCTTTTCCCCTCACATTACTATACAAACGAACATTTTTTTTCTCTTTTTCCTTTATTTCCTTTATTTCATTTTTGTTATCTTAAAAGAACAATAGCATTTTCACAATTTAGCATTTTTTTTCGCATTCCCCTTTTTATTTATATTTCTAATTTTTTTTATTTTTTACAATAATATGGAGAAGGGATTTTCTTTGGCCTTTTTCTCAAATTAAAAAAAATATTATTTTCAGAATTCGTGTATTTTTAAAGAAAAGACGAAGGATCAATTATATATATATATATTATAGTATTTTGCAAGAGAGAGCGAGAGGAAATTACAAACCTTTTTTATTATTGTCTAGACTGAAAGAAATTTAGAAATTTCTATTTTAATTTATTGTCCAATTCACACAGATTTGATGTGCTGGCACAACATTCATTTATTCAAAACTTCTTATTAGCAAAGCAAAACAACTGCACATACAAACTCACCTTCCTTTTTCTTTTTGCTTTTTTTTTCTCTCGCTTTCTCTCTCATTAATTATTTAGTTCTTTTGAACTTGTAATTTTTCGAATCCATCTAATCCCCTCAGCTTTATACGTTTACATTGTATAAGTCTCATGACTTACTCATCCAGAGCAGAGAATTAGCAAAAGAAAAATTGTAAATGTAATTTTTTCATATATATACACACATACAAGCATGAATAAATATATATAACATACACACTGAAATTTTGAGAATCATGTTTGGGTTGGGTTGGATTTGAGTATGGCGAATAATGATTGAGTTAATTTTTGTTTTAATCAAAGATATGAAATATTTTACGCGCGTTGTATTAAATCACGAATACCAAATTTGGTATGTTCATAAACTTTTGCTAACGTTAATAATGATCGACAATAGCCGAAGCAATGACGCTAATAATGTAACATATTTCCTTTTTAGCATAGTAAATGATTAAATGTTGATGTGAGACAATGACGAGCGTACGTAAGTGTGTGGCTGAATTGAAAGTAAATAGAGTTTTTTGTTTCTTGAACCTTTGGGGTGTGTTCGGGCGAGACAGAATGAAAAATTGTTTCAGATTATTTTAGTTAGAGAGCAAAGCAAGAATGCAATCTGGACTGTTATTGTCATTTGATATGCTCACAATTAGTATATTGTAAAGGAGATGTTTCGGATAACAAAAAAAATTCACAAATCAAAATTCTCAATTATCCATTTATCGAAGTAACGGAACATTATTAGAGATACCTATATTACATCATTTTACCGCGGATAAGGGCGATGACATTTTCTGTCATCAGGTCATCGATCATAAGTTTGCTACGGCATTCTTGACATAGACACATGATTTTTTCGCATACTGCACCCGTGATTAAGTTGTGACGAAGCATTTCGTAAATACGTGCATACTGAAATGCTTCTCAAGACAGTGCAGTGCCTCGGGAATAATCCGAGAGACTAGACAATGCATCATCATGCTATAAACCTGTTTGAAAATATGCATACACGGATCCTTATAAATCAGATGACCCAGTTAAGTAATACATGTTTGATAATGATAATGTAAGTTTTGGTTTTTGGTTTTCGTTACTGTTACATCTTTCCGATTCAGGCAAAAAAGGAAATAAAAATTTGCGCTCTATGTGAAATAACCATAATGATGACTTTGTGTTGCGACATTGCAAGAAAATACGTAGCACAAAATACAGATGATAAATATGAGACAAAGATTTTGTCTTTGTGTGATTACTATAAGCCATAGAAGTGTGAAATGATTATGATTTGTTAGATTCCTCGATGTGCGTCTTTGGCATTCGGAATTAATTAATAGTGTGTCATTCATGGATATTAATGTGACAAATTGGTTTGCTTTGTTTTTTTTGGTTCTTGGTTTTTCGCTTATCAAAAATTGAAACAATGAAACGAGTATCCAAGCACCAAACTAATGAACCATTCATGCTGAGATTAGAGAGTAAACTAATGAACCATTCATGTTGAGATTAGAGCGTAAACTAATGAACCATTCACGTTGAGCTTAGAGGATAAAGAGATGCTACTACAATACATCTTCGAAAGAGGCATACAGATATCTTTTGCAATTTAGTGCAAGAATATGGATGGATGACATCAGGTATTGCACATGTAGTTGTTTCAAAATTTCAGCAAGCTCATCAAATCAGAAAAAACCAATGTAATAATAAATTCAATAGTTTCAAGTATCCTTCGACATAATCCGTTTGGCTGTTAGAATATGCATTAATTATCATAATACGAGCAACAGCAACATGAAATCTATTTTATTCATACACATGCAAGATAATGTTAAATCAAACCAATTAGATAACATTGTCCCTTCATATTTATTATTGACGTGAAATTTTCTAATAACTAAAATTTCTTCCTTTGTTAACCATTAATAATTAACTATGTCACACCATTTAATATAACGATAACGACACAACAATCAAATAAAAGATTTTTGATATTTTGCTCGTTAGATTAAAAAATTTAAAACTGGAAATTTGCATGTTACAATGATAAACCAGATTATTCATGATAATATCTTAAGGATGTACAGAAAGTTTAAATTGACCCTTGTTGTCCTTTTTTGGATCATACACGTAATCAGAGTCTGCGAGATTTTGTCGCAGCAGTTTATTAGCGTATAGCATATTATCGTTAGATATTGTTTTCACTTATTCTCTAATTGCTTTCTTACCCTAGCAAAATCGATTTTGCTAATTAAATCGTGCTTTAGTTAGATCTGATAAGTGATCTTTGTATAGAATTAATCATAACGATTTATTTTTTGTTTTAAACGTGGATATGTAGATAATATTTGATTCTGCTCTCGAAAAGTATTAACTTATGTTATTCAATTACTGATCAGAAGAGATATTATCTCAAGATGCTCGTGAAAGTCAAATCAAATAAAAGCTGCAGGGATAACAAGATTAATGAGATTATGAATTTTTTATTGCTTAATAAACATGTGAATTTACGCGTCAAAAGTCGAGTTTTGACATTATTCTAAATCTTGTTTACTGATACATAAGTCATCATTTCAATAATTAACAAACATGCATTAATCTCTTATACGTATGCATTTATTTTTTTCATATTTAATCCTGTTTGTCACTAAAAGACACATCGTCAATAAAATACGCGCAATAACTAATTAAGACAATGAACCAACAGACAGCTGAAGATTTTCCGCTTTATTTTTAATTAATTTCTCCGTTTAATAATTTTTTTTAATATAAATGTGTGCAATATATTATCTATCAGATCAAATCTGGTTTTAACGCGTAATAATCATTCGACTTATTAGTAAAAATAATAAAAATAAACAAATAGATAGACATCCTTTGTGATGTGAACAAAAAACTGCATGTTACAAAATGCAAAAGATAAAAGAACAGTTACATATAATTAATGAGAAATCAAACAGTTGCGAAAAAATTTTGCCGAACTTACGCCATTTTAAGACAAATGCCGATCTATGTTCTTCATTAATATGTATTTTATTTTATACATGTATATTAATAACAAGATATTTATGTATTCAAAATATGTATTTTATAATTAGTTTTTTTAATAAATAAAAAACAATACGCGTATTTTACTTCACACGTGTAAGGAATCCACGTGTATTTCCTCACATTTATGATAACGGTCTGTGCGTAAAACGCGCTTTTATATTATTTATCTTACTTTGGTTACTTCTCTTACCATGCACAAATAATGTGCAGTATATTTGATAGGATATATATATCTCCACATATATATATATCGGAAATTTTAGGTTAAGTATATTTATGGTGTATCAAATTTCTAAAATTGGGTGATAAGGATGTTTTAAATTTGTTAAACATCACCTAATAAGTGAAATATCTGGAATTTTATTATCTAATTATCCCATGTAGAATTATTACGAGCCATAGAACCAAAAATTTATATTTTTATTTCTTTCTGTTTAACAGGTTTGTGTAATTTTGGTAAGAAATTTTAATAAAAAAATGTTGTGACATTACAAAAAATGGTCCTATAATCTAAGAAAAGAAAATTGGTGCCCTTTTTTCTTTGAAACAAAGAAATATCACTTTAATATTCATATCACTCGATTTGAAAAAACCTGATTATTACTTTTAAAAAAATTTTTTTTTAGCAGGATTCTGTATGTATTATGTTGATCAGTAAGTGATCGAAAATAGAACGCGTACGCGTCCTCATATTGTAAATCCTCTCGATTCATGTATAAATATTTGATGCTTACCTGTTTGATTTCATGCTAAAGTTAAAATTTGTATTATCGAGCATACAATTTTATAAAAGGAAACTAAGAATAGATTTTTTATCAAAATCATTCATTTTATAAAATCGAAATATGCTGTTATTAATAATCATGGGATAAAATTTGGACGAAAATGTTTCGGAAGCGATATGGTGCATAAAATCTAAAGTCATCAAACGTTTGTATTTTATAAAATGTATTAACTTCTTTACTAAGAAGTAAATGTAAACTTTAAATATGCTCAGAAAAGGCCAATTCTATCATATTCACAGATTAAATTTTGTATTTACTTCTTAGTAAAGAAGTTAATACATTTTATAAAATACAAACGTTTGATGAATTTAGATTTTATGCACCATACTTTCTGAATATTCAATTTGGTTTATTGAGATTATTTTTTATTTTTGATGAGTAAATATATTTTATGGATTTTCTCTTCTCACAAATTTGGCGAGACATTAAGAGAATATCGCGATTTTTTTTAATTATCTTTATACAAACTCACATTTATTTGGGTAAATAGATAATTATACTTTACTTTTAATAATAAATATCGTAAATTATGCACACAAATGACACTCCGAGCATACTACTTCAAACTTATAGATTAAAAATTATGACGATTTTTGATACAAAACAAACTATTTATTTATGCTTATACAGACAACAGCTAATACCTTTATTTGATATATCGTTAATTATGATTTTTGTTGCTCGCTAATATACTTCGAATTTTTTCCGAATTTATGCTTGGTAAATGCAATTTTTCACTGTTAAAATTTTTATCCAGAAAATTGCCGGTATTTTTAGTTGGAATTTCAAAAAATTCTGAATAAACTTACAATCCACAAATACTACGTTTTATGAAATAACCTACGTAGATTCGTCAATACAAAGATTACATATGATTACATAAATTTTACGTGGATACCTTGCATACATTCATACGTGGGAAATATATGTAATCTACATGGGTTGCCAAGTGGATTTACACGAATTTTATATGGATATAGAAATTTACAAACTTCTATAAAAACTCTACGTAGTATCTGTTGGTATACGGAAAATTATTGTTAGAAAATGACAAATTTATTCTCAGCTTGATAACAAATTTAACGAATTATACTAACACTAGTCGAAAATGAAAAAAAAACAACCACAATTCAGAAATTATTTAGCAACCATTCATCGGTTAAATGGCAGCGATGATGCCATTTAACCGATGAATGGTTGCTAAATAATTTCTGAATTGTGGTTGTTTTTTTTTCATTTTCGACTAGTTAGTTTGATAAAATATGCTAATTTATACATAAATTATTAAGTAAATTCTTAATTTTTGGAAAATAACTATGGTGCATGCCACACATTAACCTAGATTGTATTAAGAGTTCTATAACCTCTTAATTAAGAAATAAATTCGAAATTTGAGCTATGATAGGTTAGACCCAGGGTTGTCAACTGGACTTAGTCTAGCACTGCATCATTGGGTCACTGGACTTATGAAGTTTATAAGTCCAGTCCAATAGAACTTAGCATCTGTACTGAATCCAAAGACAACCCGATTATGGTGCATAACATCTAAAGTCATCAAACGTTTGTATTTTATAAAATGTATAAACATCTTTACTAAGAAGTAAGGGTCTATTCTATCATATTCACGGATTAAATTTTATATTTACTTCTTAGTAAGATATTTATCCATTTATAAAATACAAACGTTTGATGACTTTAGATTTTGAACTTAATATGATTTATTTTGGTTATAGGTAGTGCACCATAAAGTGATCCACTTTAGAAGAAATAGACAGAAAATCGTTATCTTTAGAATACACCTAATTTTTCAAAAACTAATTAAAATAGAATAACAGAAAAATTAATACGGTTAATTTATAAAAATATGTGAATTCTTAAAATTGTAAAAGTAAAAATATCTATAATTGGTTTGTCAATTTTCGTTTGTTTAAAGAACAATCTAGCAAAAATCGGCTATACCGTAAAACGCTGTTTAAAGTATCCCCTCTGACTTTTTGGAAGCGATTTTTGTATTGTATCCGGTGGTGTACAGTACTTACAAATGTGAAATTATAATACAAGTTGTATCCACGGTACCCCATGTAATATACTCACACAATTGCGAGTAGAATGTAAAGTACTCCGGGTACTTTAAACAGCGTTTTACGGTAACTCAGGGAAAATGTATGTGTTTAACTATAAAGCATGGGGTTAAACTTCTGGTATGTGACAAAAATAACCCCAAAACATATAACAATCAAAATTATAAGAAACAAAAAAAAACAACTCGAATTTTGTCTGAGAATAGAAATTATCAGTAAATTTGTTTTATTGAAAATATTAACGTTTTATGGTGCATGCCATCTAAAGTCATCAAACGTTTGTATTTTATAAAATTTTACTAAGAAGTAAATACAAAATTTAATCCGTAAATATGAGAGAATAGACCCTTCTGAGCATATTTACAAATTAAATTTTGTATTTACTTCTTAGTAAAGAAGTTTGTCCGTTTTATAAAATACAAACATTTGATGACTTTAGATGGTATGCACCATATCGAATTTTATAAAAAAATCGGGATATACTTAATTTTGGTGAAAATGATCTGCATGATTTTGGTCAGATTTAAATGGTCGTCATATTGATTCAAAAAAAATTACTTTGGCTTATCAAATCTAGTATTTATCTCAATAAGACAAGCCTGTTTTAATTATGACCATGTGGGTGGGAGTTCTTTATATAAACTACTAGGTATAAATAATGAGTGAATACAAGACAAAACTATTCATCTCAATAACTGAAGATTATCTAATAACTTAAAAGTTTGTGACGTAAATAAATGTCAACAGTAAAAAAAAGAATTTATTCCAAACCGGAACAACAAACTAGATGCACTTAATTTCCCACCCTGTTTCACAGAATCTCGAACTTTCTTTGTAAAAAAAAAGGGATAAAATTTATAATATAGAAACTAGTAAATACCTGTATTATTTTTTTACTTGATTTCTGATGGACATTGTGTTACATATCTATGACATTGAAAAATCAAAGAAACTAGTGGTTGTATCTTGTAAATATTCCCTCGTTCTTATCACCATTCATATATAATTTAAACTGATTATTTATTATTCTTACGAAAAGCTTTATATTTTATATTATTAATTATCTTGATTTTTTGGGTTCTCATAGAAAGTCCAAATGAATGAATGATAATAAATCTTGGCTGTGAAAAAGTAGATCAAAAATAATTTTCTTGCACATTCTTTTATTCTTTGTTCATTTTACTATTTATTATTAAGATATTCTCGATTTACTAGTTGTCTTTGATTTTTACAAATATTATAGATAAAGCAATTTGTAGATATATTCCAAAAAAGAACTAGATAAGTAAGCTTAATAAATTTTTGTTATTTAAAATTAAAGATAATAACATGCAAACATATGTAGGATCAAAACTAAATAATGCTATAATTTTGGCGCCATTGTTTAATTTGAGTAGAGCATAAAATAATTCTTTTGATCTCTATCTTTGGTAACAATGAAATTTTCGTATAGATATTCAGCCATTGTAATTTTCCTTGTAGAGACTATGTTTTTTCACTTTAATGTAAATTGTACATAGCGTTAAATCGTGCATAGCATTAATTAATTGTACATGTACATAGAATTAAATAAATTATACATAGCATTAAACAATGTATAAATAATATATTTATGTATTAATATTGAATTCATTTTTTTAACAATTGAATTTTAAAAATTTATCTAAATGCGGAATAAAACAAAAAGATCTTCGACACATTTAAGTAATATCGATATCGATATGTTTTATTTTGATGGATTATACAGTCCACCTCCCCCGTAAATATGACATCATCGGGATAGAGTTTTGGTCATAATAACGAATATCGATATGTCATAATATAAATATAAACTATTCTTTGGATAGAGTAGTTTTATCATTAATTTTGTTATCAATGCGGATGTCATAGTAACCAGTGTCACGTTAACATGGATTGTCTTATTGTTCTGTTCTCTTATTATACATGTATTAGTGTATCATAAAGATCAAATATTAAAGGACAGACAGTTAGTTCACTTTACATTTTCCACAAAAGGGGGGGGGGGTACTTTACATGGAGAATACTATGTTATTTTAGTACAACTCGAAAAGTAATACTTGCCTAATAAAAACCCATTTAAATATCTGGATACAATACAAAAAATTTCCTGCAAAAAATAGGGTGAGGTTACTTTACATGGAGGGGTACTATAAACCGTAAAACATGTCCCTGTGAGAAATTCCAGGGAGTTAAATATTATACGTGAAAATTCTGTGTAAACCTCAGCAAATATTTATAAATATAAGTAAATATTTGAAATTTTCCCTGTAAAACCCCTGCTATTCGTTATCAATCACAAGTGATTACAAGTAATTACAGGTTACCAAATTATAGAAAAAAATTTCTTATATATATGGTGCGTGCCATCTAAAGTCATCAAACGTTTGTATTTTATAAAACGGATAAACTTCTTTACTAAGAAGTAAATACAAAATTTAATCCGTAAATATGATAGAATAGACCCTTTCTGAGCATATTTACGGATTAAATTTTGTATTTACTTCTTAGTAAAGAAGTTTATCCGTTTTATAAAATACAAACATTTGATGACTTTAGATGGTATGCACTATAGGGCATCTGCACGCATGAACCTCGATCTGCTTAGAATCCTAATGTAATTTGTCATGATGAGTAATAAAAATATCATATTTTTTAATTCATCAAAAAATTTCTTATTCTAATAAAATCTATAGGAATTATACTGTTCTAGATCATGGAAACCTTACTTTATATCATTCACATTAATTTTTCACAAGATCGTTAATGCTAGCTGATTATATGAACTTTATTACATAAATTTTAGATGCTTGTATTACATAGCTTAATTTTTTTATCTACTAGTGATTTAAATTAATCCATGTGTTTTGCTTAAAATTAAAATTTCCAGACGAGCCTCTCATACTGCCCGTTACACAAAGATAGATCATCATAAAAGCGTTTTTCTCTAATAATCACAACAATAATAAGAAACCGCGATCCAGTAATAATAGTAAAAATCTTACTCGAAATAAATAAAATATTATTCCGCTCTGATTATTCTTACAAAAATATCATCAAATAAAAAGTATTATTCTTCAGAGAACAAACCTTAATTGTTTGTCTGTCATAATATTGTCTACGAATCCCGATTTTCTGATTCGATACATTTGAAAAATAAGCCTTTGATAATGAACAATCAGGGTCCTTGAATTCTCGAACTGGTATCTATAGTACCCGAATTCTATCCCATTTACGAATATGCAATGTCACTCATTCAGGAGCATTCCCACGATTTCCCTTATAACACATGACAATTACTCGGATACCAGATTATACATGATTAAAATTGAGTAACCAAAAAAAGCAGGTACAACGTATGCATGTAATATATCTTGTTTATGCTTGTTTGCAGCTTTGTGTCCAGGTTCTTTCATCATCATCTATTTTCATTACATGCGGGTTTATTCAATGATGAAACGGGAAATTGATAGTTTATGCACGGTAATTTCCATACTGTTTCACAAACGGTAAATCATAAATAAAGAACATACTAAACAGGAACCCAAATAATAAGAGATATATTTATCAATGATGTCGCTTAATATACGTAGTAATATATTCATTTTACGGAGGGATGATTTCTTCCTACCGTGGTTTTTTTTTTCGCCTTGTTATTTAGAAAGAGTTGTTGTAAGATGATTTACAATATAAATTATCTGTGATAATATGAAGATTTAACCCTTAAACTTAAAAGGGACTGAAGAAATGGGCCAATAATTGAAATGTCACATTTTTATATTGTTATTTTAACTTGAACTCTATTCTGCTAAAAGTATTCTTTGATATTAATCATACAGCCATTCTAAGTAGAAAATATTCTGATTTGTAGATTTGATTGATGTTAAAAAAAAAGATTACTCTATACAAACAAGCGAAACATGTATTTTCCTACGTCTAAGCCGCTGTATATTAGTGAACTTACTAGAAATATCTTTATTAAAAATATATATCTTATATCTTAATATCAAATCTGCTTAATTAGCTGCATTTATCGTCTAGTATTAAGTATTTTAGACATAAACATAATCTTAACGAAAATCGGAATCCTTGATTGCTATCTAAGGAAATAACTAAATAAATGCACTACGGAAAATTTTTAAGAAAAATTAGCATACGTACATAGCATAATAAACTAATGTTGTATAGCATGAAAGATCTCATTTATATTAAAAGTTTAGCGCACTGACATTCGCACGTGTTGACGCGCGTTCACTGAAAAACGAACTGCTTGTTTTTCTCGCGTAAATAAATGCATAATTGTTCAATACATCTACACTTGCTTAATACATCTAATACATCTATATACTTATCTATAAACTATGACTATATAAATATATAGGGTTGAAAGAGAGACAATACTTGATATCTTGATTTTGAGATAAATGCCACAATAGTAATAAACAGGGAATTTTTATTTATGCATTAAATCAAAGTCAAACTAACAATAATAAATTCAATAATGGACCGCCCTTAAATTGGCAAATTTAGAAAACGCCGATTATACAAGTCTGGACTCTTGCACGCGGATCAGTCATTATAAATCTTAGGATAAAAAATTAAAATAATAATAAATTTTATTAATTGTCTCATTTTCGAATTAGCTTAGGCATGTGTTTATTTATATTTAATATATACACATTAATAAAAAATAAACTGGTTAAAGTGTATGTAGTTTAAAAAATTTCCTGTTAAAAAGCCATTGTTGTTTTTGTTGTTTGTTCGGGAAATGTTTGACAACACGTTCTTAGTACAGCAAGTACATCATCATGTCATGTTAACTCTATCAATTAAAATTAACTTAATTATTTATTATATATAAATATCTATTCATTATTTTATTACGCGCGTAAACCAATCATAAGATATATTCAAAAGCTTATCTCGGAAACAATTAAAGTTTAATATATAATGGATTTTCATCTTAAACGCGTGTGCATTTGATCAGTTAAAGTAACAGAAACAACAGTATCGGTCGCATTTGAAGGTACGAAAACAGGATATTTCTAAATATAGTTAAAGATTTTAAGCTTAATAACACTGGAAGTACTTACAATATCAATAACAATAATAAATAAATATATAAATTAGCTAATGGTTAGTTAGGGTAAAACGATAATAAATAATAAATAATAAGAACAGGAATAAGAACCAATGCATTGTTTGTTTATGATGTATTTACTTTATTGCACTTTATTTGTATATATTTAATACTTAGTACTTATTTTTAATCCTTTTATATTTCTGATCAAAATAAACTTTTGACGCGCGTCACAAATACCATATGACCTTCCATTGTTAGTTTTTTGAAAAGAACAATGACATGATGTTATGTACGGTATTACACACGTTAAAATTCCTAGATTTTCTACCCATGTTCAAGAGATGCTCTACCTTAAAAAGGGAAAAATACGAACGAATTTATATTCTTTAGATGTTTGAGGTAAAATACTCTATAGAAAATATCTATGAAACTATTTTCTTCAAGTAGGATATAAATTCTAATCAGATTTTGAAAAATTTTAAAGATAATCCCCCACGTGAAATCAAACGAATACCAAAAATCTAGCCTAGGAACGTTTTCGATTAGAGAGAATATTTGCTAAGAAAACTTTAGTACATTATTGGATCAAACTCTTTTAAAAAGACAAGGGAGATAGATAGATAAAAATTTTTTACGTGACCTCTATCGGTGTTATCGATCTACATATTAAGACATAAATACAGATATCTAGTTTTATGTATATCAATATGAATGAAATACAAGTTTTTTTAAATGCACACTGCCTGCATCCAAAAAAGGATAACAAAAGAAATTCGTAAAAAATATTTCCCTTAAATTTTGTACGTCAATGGCGATGATAATAATAAACTTTAATGAACCATTTAGAATCCTGTGTAGAAGTTGGCTCTATTCATTGCGCAGTCCAATTGTGCGTTTGACAAAAGGTCACCGTTCTTTTTCATTGTCATAATTAATCTTTTTCCTTGCTAATCTTTTTTCCTACATATACATACAGTAAAGTATATCATTCACCTAATATAGTTAATTATCTTTATCCATCGTATACATAGAAAACGCGGTAATACGCATGTTGTACATTATATACTATACATCATGTATATTGCACGATAATCGCGTGTGCTTGATTAAAAATAAATCTATTAAAAATAAGTTAGCATTAGCGTTTATGCACAAAACATTAAATTAATAATTTTTCATGGTTTTGAATCGGTTTTTCTTCCAGATCGATATCCACGTATCATGAATATAACGAATATACACCCTTAATAAAAAAAAAAAGGAACATTGTGATTGGTTTTCTTCGACTTCTTTGAGAATGCGAAGTGATAAGATGAAGCTTATATCAAAAAACAATTATCACATCTTTTGAACTATTTAGTTGAGTCCACGCTAAACTTTTTTTCGCTGCATATGCTTGCTTGTACCCGTTGATCTCATTTTTACTTTATTATACGCAATTGTGGCTATGTACATATCCTTTGGGGGAGAGAATATAGCTTGTTCATTGAACTTTTGCATCGGCTATTCACACTTACAGCAAAGATAAACTGGTTTTCTACGGATCAATGACTATTTTCGCATGCATGTTTTTGATTTGTCTTCGACTGGCGTTTGTTTGCAGCGACTTATGAGTGCTTCTGCTAAAATAGTTTATAATCACAATAAGATTGTGACGGTTTCATTGGAATCTTTTGATCTTTTTTTCCGCTCTTTCTAACAATGCAAACAAAGAAGTAGCACAAAATATTGAGATTTTTTCATTGATAAAAAACGGTTGAACTTTATGCACAAACCTTGAGATACATGTCGACAAGACTTGAGGCACATGAAGAAAAGGTAATTTTTCGAATAAAAACCAGTAAATAGAGTTTGTGTCTATTCAAGAGAGAAGAATACATTTGATCGTTTATCACACACAATATTAACGATAAGGATTAGTTAACCTTTTTAGGAATTGACCCGTATCAGCTTATGAGGTATTTTCTATCAGGATAAAAAAAGCTGCGGATGTCAATATAATAATACATATAGAAGAACGTTATAGAATATATATATATATGCGAAAAACTGTTTTTCCTGGGTACTTGAGAAGATTTCGGGCGCATTTTGCGTGCACTGGCTCATTTAGGCTTTCCCATGTTGCCTTGACTTTGATGCACTGCAAAAGTGTGTGATTGAATAAGCATATTACTTGAACAAGTGCTACAAATGCAGAACTGGCGTGTATTTAATCAAAAGTCTGGATTTAGTTAGAATACGTGAGTTTTCTTCACGAAGTGATATTTACGATTAGAAGGGTTAAAAAAATAAACACCTCTTTTTCTTAATGTGATCATTCTTGATACGTCTGAAAGAAAGATCAATTCGATCTTATTGCTTTGAAAACTTTAAAAAATGAGAACTAACTTTAAAAAGAAAAGCTCTTAAATTTGTTTTGTCCTAAAATTTAGGAATAAGTAATCTTTTTACACGATCCTTTTATGGTATAAAAATTCTAATCTTACAGTCATACTTTTACATAAGAACAATCATAAACAAGAACATTTTTTTTAGAACTAAGTTATGAAACAGTATATGAAATTTCCCTCTATATGAGAACATAATGTTTTATTTTATAAGAACAAATTTTTTTGGTTCCCAACCTGTTTCTTATATAATCATGGGCACGATTTTTCAATTCTTTTGCACTTTGATATCGCCTAGACCACAAATGGGTATTCACGTGCATGAATTCTCTTACAAGTAGGCCAAATTACAGTACATAATTCTGGTGATAATATAACTTCTGCAAATTTCATTAATATGTTGATACTGGCCGGTTTTACAAATTATCTTGATGCCGCACGACCTTTTCTTTTTTCGTTTGACATAACTTGCTTTTTTTTATTTTGTTTTATAATATGAACAACTAGGTTTTGTGCTCTTATCTCATAAACATTTAATGCAAGGGTGATTAACCAAAAAAATTTCTGTTGTTACATATTTAATCATAACGATAATAAATAATCTGAGATAAGTTCCACAATTGTGTACGTCTAAAAAAGAACTGATTGCTATCGAAACGAAGAAATTTAACATGCAAGCTTCGCAAAGAAGAGACAGAGTTAATCGTTATATGAACATTATTGATCGTGTGTGTGGGGTATATCTTTATTAAAAAAAATACTATTTCGAAGATGCTTACATAGAGGCCAGTGCTTTACAATAACAGCTCATTGATACTTTTACTTTTTTGATAGTAAACCGAAATTGGTGGTGGCGATGGATGCAGGAGGTAAGAGAAAAATTGTTTGCATGTATTGAAACACTACATATCGATCTTTGCTCTTTCTTCAACATGATATTGGTTTTAATGCATTGTGTCGCCAAATCCATTATTAAAATGCACGAGTCGGAATAAAATCTTTTTGGTTTCCTTATTGTAGCGAAAAGACAAATGTTCTTTTTGTCGTCTTCTTTTACCATGGAGATACATTATTGTCGATAACGCATTTTTCCCTCTTTGGATATATGACGTTATCTTCATACATTATTCATTACGCAGAAAACTATGCATATATTGATATCGATATTTAAAAAATATATTTATAATTGTTATTTGTATCATGAATGCAAAATTTTTGCCCTGTACTTGAAATAACTGGAAAAAACTGGAAAACTGCATCGTTATTATACTCGGGGGAGGTTAACGGACGTATTTCAAACATCTAAAATAGGTTATCAATTGGTTTTTCTTATCTGCTCAAGTGACGCGTGATGGAGCATGAGTGAGAAGTAGCTGTATGCACACGATTATGTCATTAAGCACTTTGATGTCTTGTTTTATTTTTTCATTAATGAACAAGAAATCCGTTCCGAGCGACTGTCAATAGACAGACAGACAATATTTTTTTTTGACTCAAAGGAAACTGACAGACGCATATTGTATCAATCGAAGTGCACGACAATACAATTAAGGCGAAGAGAGAAAGAGACAATTATCAATTTTACCAACCCTTGTCAGTCTTTTTCGAAATTTAACACCACGTACATTAAATTGTAGGAATATAAATTTAAATTTTCGAAATTTAACACCGCACCTAAATCGCGTACATTAAATTTGTAGGAATATAAAATTTAAATATTGATAGATACGAATATTTTCTATATAGTGCATAACATCTAAAGTCATCAAACGTTTGTATTTTATATTTTATAAAATGTATAAACACCTTTGCTAAGAAGTAAGGGTCTATTCTATCATATTCACGGATTAAATTTTATATTTACTTAGTAAAGATGTTTATCCATTTTTTATAAAATACAAACATTTGATGACTTTAGATGTTATGCACCATAGTGCTTTATATAGTAATCTAGACAAGTACATACGTAAATGACAGTTGTTTAAGCATAAAAAATTAGATATGATCTACATTATGAGAACATTTTTCTAATTAGGCGGCTACCAAGGGCTGCGCCACACGATAATTCTTTTTACCAATAGAATTCAAGTATAATCACGAAGGTGGGCTATTCTATTAGTAAAAAAAAATTGAAACTTTTGTTTCGTAAATTCAGTTTATCGAAGTAACTTCGATTTATCCAGATTTAATTAATGCTTCGGGTTGACTGTAATTCCGTCATTTGGGCCAAAAAACGTCTTAATTTTGACCAATTAATTACTAATTCTGCAAAATTATACCAACTTGAGCTAAAAAAAATAATAATCCAAAATTTGAATGCGGTGAATTGTAATCCAGCTTCCAAATGGTCACCCTTGCTCGGGTTATAACATTTGATAGCTTATGCTGTCTCAGAGTTCTAGCTTATGAGAGGAAAATATACATCGTAATATCTTTTTATCGCCAAGAGTATAAAGTCAGGTTAATTTATTTATCATTATCCCCTTATATAGCGAGATTTCTGAAAAATTTCCGACTATAATAAAAAGCATTTTTTTTTGGAACTTAAGTCATCGTTATACGTATAGAGCTTTTGCTGTATAACAAATGGCAATGGTAAGCAAAAATTATTTGGAATTACTATTTTTGTTACAATTTGATAAAAATTATTAAAATAATATGAAAGTTTACAAGTATATTCTTTGAAATAGAAAGAACAAGTTTTACTTTAATAGAATAATAATAATAATATTAGTATTATTACTTTTTAATTTTGTATTTTTATATTTAAAAAATTTGAACGATATATATTTTTCTTTAGATTTTTATAAAATCTACAAACAATAAATTTACTTGAGATTATTTGCAAAATGACTTATTAAAATTACTCTTATTTTTGCTAATAATTTTTTCATTTTTTTGAACTTAAAAAAAATTAATGATAATAAATAAATATTTTAATTAAACAATTATAAGTTGTGTAATTTTTCATCAAATCATAGTAAAATATTAATTCCAAATAATTTTGCTTACCAATGTATACGCTTTGCCACAACATCAGAGAGATGTTTGATTTCACCAGCATTAAATCTCTATTACAATGGCTCTCACAAGAAATGGAACCGCGATCAAAATTTTTACCTCCGTCAGTGTTAATCCAAACAAAATAAACAAGTATTCGAAACCTCTAATGTTTTTTAAAAATAATTTGACAACAGATTATTTTAACCGTTTTTGTGAAACTGAGTGATTTAATCCAAATTTTCAATTAGTAAATTTCTCATATAAACAACTTTTTTTCCAAGACAAATCCTAATTTGGACCACTAATTAAAAATGTTTTACTCCACAAAATTCTTCTACGTACTAATTTCCATAAAAATTTATCGAGATTTAAGATCTAGGAGCATCAATTCAACTATTTATTTACTAGCAGAGACTTGAGCCAATTTTCATGAAATTTGGTAAGTGAGTGGGATAGATTTTGTAGAGTAGAACATTTTTAATTATGGTCAAAATCTGGTTTTTATCTTAGAAAATAAGTTCAAAAAATTGACTTAAATCACTCAATTTCACAAAATGGTTAAAATAATTGCTGCAAATTATTTTTAAAAAAATACTAGAGGTTTCAAAGTTTAAGATGAATACTTGTTTATTTTGTTCAGATTAATATTGACGGAGATAAAAATTTTGATTGTGTGTTCCCTTTCTTGTATATAGATATAAAGCGTCAAAATGATGTTATTCTATCACAGCATTCTTTAATATTTCCTATCAGGATATTTATTTTTACGGCCCTAATTTTCTTGTGAAGACAGGTTTAATGACAGAGTTGATGTAAATTCTGTAGATTTTAAATTGCCAAGCAACGCATCTACTTGATCCAATTTGTTTGGAAATTAGAATTAAATTCAATATTACCTAATTGGCTCATAGAATTATCCCAAATTTAGGATTTTGATTTATGTACATAACTATAAAAACGTATCAATATCATTGTTTTTTGTCTTAAAATTATAAAGATTAATAATCAGCTAAAATACGTATAACTATAATTTATCAAAATCTCAGCTGAAATTAATAAAATCACACATTTATTATTGCAAACAACATTATAGAATTAAAATTCAATATTATATCATTTATGTTATAACGATAGAATAAAGAGTCGATTGATTATTTACTGTAATCTCAAATTTGTGTCTTGCTGTATCATCATCATTATTATCGTTATTATTGCTACTACCACGACTATAATTACCACCACCACTACCACCATTGTTATATTAACGTTGTTGTGGTTGTTATTGTTGTTATTGTTATTATTACTGTTGTTGTTGTCATTACTATTATTATTTTTATTATTGTTACTATTTATAACATCCGCAGCAGTTGTTGCACTATTAGCAGTTGTATTATCGTTATATTCTCTAGAATTGATAGGTATAGACGTGACTTGTGGTTGATGAAGAAGATTATGGTGATAAATTGTTAAATTTTTTTTTCCGAGTTTCCTCTTCATAAGTTCTTTAATGTTTTCTTAATAATAGGTGTGATATTGTAAACTTGTATGTGTTGAAGATATTGTTCAAGTGATTTTGCTTCTATTGATGCTTTCCTTTTTGAATCAAAGTATTCTTGAAGTGTTTCTTGTGTAATTGGAAAATGATTTCTCGATTCACCAGGATCACATTTATACTTGGTGAACGCCTGTCTCGTCGATCTTTATGATTGTTGTTATTATCGATTGAATCAGAAGATGAACTTGGCGGAATATCTTCTGTTGCTTCAAGTTTAGATGATTGTTGTTGAAGAAGTTTATGTTTACCGTAATAAAATGAAAATTTTAATTTGAACCTATAAAAAAATCGGATGATTTTACCTTCTTTATATATATATACGAGCAGTTTTGCTTTTTATACAGTGGCTCACACATGTAACCGAACACGAAAATTAACTTTCTAGCATTTTTATTTCCATGACTATTAGTTTGGAC